ATTTGGTTTGGCATCTCGGGTTTGGGGTTGATTTGACAATTACAAGCTACAACAAATAATGGTTAAACAGACTCTGGCTCAAACATTTTGTTAACCCATAATCTAGCCCAGTGTTTCTCAACCGTGACAATTTTAAGGCATGTGGACTTCAACTCCCAGAATTCCACAGCCAGCATTGCTGGCTGTGGAATTCTGGGAGTTGAAGTCCACATGCCTTAAAATTGTCAAGGTTGAGAAACACTGATTTCTAGCCCATAATCTAAAAATTATTTCACCAATAATATAAAAATTATTGCTGAAATATATTCTCACTACATTACATGTATTGCGGAACAAGACACTCTTAATAATGGACAATGGCTGCAATGCAAGGAAAATCTCATGGTTCTTAACCAGACTTAATATCCCTCAAGAGGATGGTGCTTAAATAAGTTGCTTCCCTTAAATAAGCTGGTAGAAAACCTTTTGTCTCAATATCGCCAGTTTGGCAGTTCCCCAAAAAGTTTTTTACTCACCCTGGAAAACTAGAGCTAGGGTCTTATCCTGTGCTGGCTCAGATTGTCTTTATAATAAAATCTCTATGGTAGCAGTCCCAAGAATTAGGGCAGGGGCTAAGTCCAGAATACATTCTAGGCCACTTGCTAGCTGTTGCCATTGGGCCAGTTGTCTCTGCCATGATTGCTGTTGCCATTGGGCTAGTTGTTGTACTGTGATTGCTATTGCTGGTCCTGTTACTCCCACTAGCTCAGGCAATTATTTGTGACAGCGCTGAACAAATGGTTCTTTAGACCAGTCCTCAAAAGTTCCAGCTGTTGCAACATCTCTACAGTCATGTGATTGTGATCCAGGTGCTTGGCAACTGGATCTCATGACAGCCATTTGTAGCCTTTGCTGGTTTGTCCCAAGTGAAGTCAATGTGGAAGGAGGCAGGAAAGGTTGCAAATCGTTCCTGTAAGCCACTCCCATTTACAATAATGGACCCCATTATGTAAGATCTCAGGGATCTTGTAGTCTATAGTGCAGTGATGGTGAACCTTTTAGACACCGAGTGCCCAAACACTGGCTTCACCCCCCGCCCCGGCCCCACCTGCTCTGCTGCAGATCACCATGGCAGCCTAGCAGTGCCATGGCAGCCACACCCTCTGCCCGCACAGCATCAACTGCGTGATAGGGTGTGAGGGCAGTCTTGTCTACGCTGCCTGGCTGCCATGTCCTTGGCTGCGCTGCTCCGCGTGGGCCACGCTCAGGGGCAACTCTCCTCCAGGGGGCTGCTGGTGGGGTCGTGGGGGGAGGTGAGGCTGGGGCAATGGCACGTGTGCCCACAGAGGGCTCCAAGTGCCATCTCTGGCACACGTGCCGTAGGTTTGCCACCACTGCTATAGTGCATACTAGCACCACAGTATCATCCTTTCCCATACATACACACTAGTACTGCAACACCCCTACCCCCAGACTCACTCTAGCACTCACCCACTCAGGAGCCTGCTTGCAAGCCTCTTGGGACTTTCAAATTCCTGCCGGCTTCCCCTTTGCTTGTGGGAAGCTGACAAAAAGTTACTAGTTGGGAGGTCCTTGCTTAAAGAGAGCAACAGAGACTAACTGGATTACCATTGCTAAGCAATGTAGTCATATGATGTGCTTAGTGATGGAAATTCCAATCCCATTTCCCATCATTAAATTACTTGTATAGATTATACTGGAGCTTTACAAAATGGTTTGAGTTTTACTTCTGGAGTTCATTCCTTCTGTGAGACAGGTGCCTTTGAAGGCCCTAGTTTGGTCTTACCTGGGTTCTGAGGAAAAAATGTCCTGGAACAACCTCCTCCACTTGAGCTTTATCTTATATTATCTTTTACCATCAAGAAAGCATTGTTCATAGAAGAGGAGGATAAAGAATATGGTTTTTGCACATTTTCCTTTAACTCCATGTTTTTGAATTGAAATAAAATGAATCTTCATAGTAATCTTAAAATTGCTTGTAATATTCCATGTTTCCCAACAAATGAAGGGTGTTCCCAAAATAGAAAACCAGGTTTATTTCAAACCTGAAACAAATATCACTTTCTCAAACGTTTCACAAAACATTTCAGATGAGCTGCAGTTTGGTAGAAATAAAACTTGGATTGTGGGGTGGTGGTCTGGATTTTGCCTGAAACAAATCATGGGAATTGCCAAATAATTATAAACAGTGAATGTGACAAGGATGGTAGGCATGAAACCTGGTTAGGTGACTTTGGGGTCAGTCACTCTCAGTCCAACTCACCTCACAGGGTGGTGGTTGTGGGAAAAATAAGAGGAAGGAATATAAGGTATGTTCATTGCCTTGAGTTATTTATAAAAAAAAGGCAGGATAAAAAAAAATCAAAAAAAATTAGTCCTGCTCTACAGCAGACATGTCAAACTCCAATGTCAAGTGACGTCGCACAACGTATTGGGACTGTTTTGCCATTACCGGCAATGGGATGGGCGTGGCTTCTGTGTGATGTGTCCGGCCCACGGACTGGCAGTTTGACACCCCTGCTCTAGAGTGAAATGCAGAAACAATTTCTAAGCAACAAAGATAGTTAACAAAATTTAAATAGAACCCTACCCTTTGACGCAATACTCACCTCACACAAACCTCTATATCAGTGTTTCTCAACCTGGACAATTTTAAGGCATGTGGACTTCAACTCCCAGAATTCCACAGCCAGCATTGCTGGCTGTGGAATTCTGGGAGTTGAAGTCCACATGCCTTAAAATTGTCCAGGTTGAGAAACACTGCTCTATATCAATAAGTGAGAATGAGAACCATCAGATCTGGACATCAAATTAAGTACTGGACACAGAGTAGAGCATGATGGGCAGATGAGTTATTTGCTCTCTTTCCACACTTAACCCCTGGCCCTTTCAGAGTTCTGAATGTAAACAATAGTCTATTGCTAGGCAGGCTTCTGTTGGCTCAGAGCCAGGGTTCTTAGGATAAAACTCGACCAACTGTAGCTATCACAAGAAATTCTGAGCCGTGTCTGAATGTTTTCCTGGCAGCGTCAGATGAAACTCTTCACCTTCACCTTTGGACCTGTACCAGTTTTAAACTTCTGTCACAGAAGACAATTTTTAAATCTGCTTTTTGCAGTTAGTTTGATTTGCAATTGGACAAAGAGGGGATGATTAGGTGTGTGTAAGCTGAGATTCTGAGATTCCATTATTGTGAAGTAGCAACTTCTTTACTATAGAAATGTTGGATTGGCAGTAGTTGATCCCTTCTGTAGGATTGAAGGACCTATTACATCAATTCCATTCTTGAAACTTTTAAGACATTCTAGGGATTCCTGTATTCTGGAAGGTTTTTTGCTGGCAGGGTTAGTGATCCTGTCATAGCAGTGTTCCTGATTTCTATATGATATGCACTGTAAAGACAAAACATAGCATAAGGACTTAAGAGGTTCATATTGAGTTATGGGATAAATGAAACACTGGGATTTTCTTCTAGATCACTAAAACAAACTTTTCTCTCATTTGTAGTGTCTGCAACTGTCAAAGATAATAGTAAACACATTTATAGATTCCTCGTGCCCCTGCTACAAAGGTGCACTTTAGGCTAGATTTATTGTTTAAAATTATCAAGTTGTATTTATTTTTCTTTGAAGAGGATCCATTTCCCTGGGGTTGGGCAGCATCCAAATTCGGTAAAATAAATAAAATGCATCTGTCCCCAAACTTCATGAATTGTGACCACCACATTAAAGCAAATCACAAATGATATTTGCATTTAAATCTAACGTAGAGAAACAAACATGCATATTGAAAAGATACAATGGTGTTTCTCATCAGTTACAATCTCAGTCTTACCCAAGAACAGTTTATTTTTTTACACATTTAAAACAGCTTCAGAAATAAATTAATACAATTATAGCTGAATTTTTTTTATTAATTAAAAGTACAAATTCTGAAATTCTGAAACTTGCAAAACCCATTACAAATTTAAAAATTTAAAAATATGAATGAGAACCAATACTGAGGATGGAGATTACAAATTCCCAAAAAACCTCCCTGATCATCATGCGGCTGCTATAAACCATATATGGTATGAGTAACAGAAAAGAGGCTACTACATTATTTAAAATATATTTTCTACCAGGCTCTTGTGCTGTATGTTTATGCTGAACCAACTACAGTTAAGGATGATGACAATATTTACTCTGAAACCACATTTATAGTTTACATTTATTCCTTTTTAGTAATCTCATTTTATGTGGTAACAGCTAAACATCTGTTTTTGCAACATGAAAGCATGTTAAACAAGTCCATTAATCTTTATAGAAAATTTGTTAAACTCCACAAACTATTCTGCTATTTTGGTCATTTAATCATTTTCACTGCCATTTGCATGAACTGAAAATTGCCAGGACCAGTTCATTATCAACCATAATTTCATTTTAAAAAGTATGAAAACCCTTCTGGCAATTTATGATAATTCTGTCAGGTAATGCCAGGTTTATTTCCTGGAAAGTTCACTCTCTCACTATTTAATATTCTACTGTCTTCCAAGAAAAATGAAGGCCTCAGTGAAATATGTATGTAAAATAGGAAGCAGTTATAAGATCATTATTAAAAGAACTATAATGCTTGTTTGAAGTGACAGGCTCAAATCTTTGTGAAATTAAAACTAGAACCCCTGGGAGATTTATTGCAAATGCTGATCATTAAAAAATTGTAAGCTTTATGAAAGCTGAGATGACGTAATATAAATTTTAAATGTTAAGACTAGAAATATAACTTGTTTCCCTACTCGTCAAGATAATCTCTCTCTATAAGGGAGTTAATAAAAATATTTTTTGTCTTTCTTAGGCATGCCATTTGAAATATTAGAACTGAGTAGAAATTGTTAGATGTTTCATCTAACTTTCCTTTTTTCATAAGTAAACACATATGGTCTCCAATATTTATTCCTAACAGAAAAAGCAATTTAAAATAAAGGTTTAGGATAATTAGCACTAATAATTAGCATTAATATATAGTGTATAAAACTATGCATGTGAAGACAACAAGGATATGACCGGAGTAAACCAAGTCAAGTCAAACTCTACTTTGATCTCCAAAGAGAATATTTGTAGCTTAGAGTTGAACTGTAAGGTCCCTGGTGCCATCTAAACTTGTTTTGCAGACATTTCATTACACAACTATGGTAGTAACACCATTGTTGCTAGAAGTGAATGGGGTTTGCTCTCTGTTTATATACAAATGTCTTGCCCTATCACTGTTGGTGGAAGTGTTCTTATGGTTGATTATGTTACCTAGGATTCATTAACTTGCAAAACTGCAAAAAAACAAAACAAACCTTGATTCTCACACATTTTTTACATGATCTTCTGTTGGCCAGAGATTACCCCTGCATGCATATTGAGAACAGAATTGAATATTTATCCAAATAGTACAGCCTGTTACTCGCCTATTTGCAGTGCTAGGTAATTTTATCCTCTGACACGCCTGACAAAAGACATTGATATCAATTAAACCTTAATCTAACATCAAGCTAAAATTAAATCCATTAGAATTCAGATATTTTTCTTAACAGGGCAAAAAGTTGCTATCAAAAGCAAAAATATTATTCAATTAAATCAGGGGTGTATCATAGTGTTTTCCACTGCTATGTGCAATCTTTTACTTAAATCTTGATAAATTATCTGCAAGGTATCAAAAATATATGGAAAAACTATTTCATTTATGAATGTTAATATATGTTGGCTAAAAGCAACAGTAAGAAAAATAAAAGAAATTAATATAATTGCCAAAGGACTTAAGGACCAGAAGGATTTTTTAGCTGGTCTAGTCTCATTGTCACAATCCTGGGTATACACTTTTTGCTTTGAAATTAGCTTTATTTTGGGAATGAGAATTTTGTTAATCTGATTAAGTTCACTTTTGCTCCACACATCTTTTAATACCTGTCCTATTCGAGGGTGGATTTCAACTGGCTTAATCATTGGTAATGGTTTTTCCCTCAAAGTTTTAACACGCTGACGTATTTCCTCAACTTTCTCAAGAAAATGAAGAGGAGACTCTTCCTCCTGAAATGATGTATTCAGTGACATTAGTTCAAGTTGTTCTTCTCGTATTCCTTTCAACCTTTCTATGAGAGGTTCATATTCTGTCTCAATCTGCATATTTACATCATCCAGAGCTGCAAGTAAAGCTTGTTTTTTCTGATCAAGGGAATCTCCGAGTCTCTTAAAATATTGCAAAACTGTTTTTTTATCCTCCTGAACAACATTCCCACATTGAGCTTTCTGTTCTTCAAGATTCTGAATAAGCAAACAAACTTCACTCCAATGTTTGTCTGTCAACTGCTCAAGGAGTCTTCCAGGAGTTTCTTTTTCTTTCATATAGGCACTTTGTAGATCATCTATAGGATGGCCATGATGTTTTCCTATTGTAAGACAATGGCCACACACAAGCTTTCTGTCTAGCAGACAGTAAATATTTAATGGCTGTCTATAATGTTCATTGCAGGTAGCAACTTCAGGATGATCCTCTTGTTGATACTTTTCAATAATAGCCTTTAATGCAAAGTTTACAGGCAAAGATTCAGTACCAGATGGAGGAATTTCAACAATACTTCTACAGTTGGGACACTTCAGAGGAAGCCTTAGAGGTCGCCATATGGAAAAATTGCTTGATATCTGAAGAATACTTTCCAAACAATTTCTACAAAATGTATGTGAACATGGCAGTACACGAGGATCATCAAATATACTGTAGCAAATAGAACAAGTTAATTCCTCTTCAAAATAATGCATTTCCTAAAATTAAAAAAAATGAGATAGAAATGTACAATGATTAAGAAATATTAAAATACTGATAGTTCAAAGGAATTAGCTATTACATGATTTAAATGCAAATCTTTAAAAAAAATACAAGCAGAATTAACCAACACAATAAATAATACATGATTAATTCCCACTTTATCTCTTTGGTGTAAGATATTAACCTAATTACTATTTATTTCTAATATCAAATTTGTCTATAGTATCCAGACCAGACATGTCAAACACAACGGCCCTCGGGCCAGATCCGGTCCACAATGGGCCTAGTTCTGGCCCGCAGGGTTGCCCTGGAGAGTCCGTGCCACCGTCTGGAGGACTCTCGCGTGATCTGAAAAGGACAGCGAGGCGCCTCTGATGGACCAGGTCCCATCCCCCTCTGCTGCAGAACCCAGGATCCCCCCCAGTCCTGTCCAACCCTCAAGGTGCCCCTGATGCGAGCGACATTGAGCCGGCTGTGCCCACCTTGCCCAGCCAGCCAGCCATGCCCAGCCAGCCATGCGCCCACCTGAGGGCAACCACAATGCTGATGCGGCCCTCAATGAAATCGAGTTTGACATCCCTGATCTAAAAAAAAAAAAAAATCCAAAAATTAACAAACAATAAAATGTTAATAAGAAATGCTGTCAGCTTTGCATCTTACACACATTTCATCATTCCATTATTTTTAAAATTAGTTTAACTACTAAGCTTTTATTAGGTTTACAGTCAAAATAGAATCATGAAATAATAATTCAAGAACATAGTGGCAATTTAGCATAATTCTGCTTTAGTTACCATGTTTTAAGCTAAGCTTAATATTTGTGGGTATAGCCCAAGGCTTCAGAGAACAAAAACAATAGATAAAACTGCCACTATAAAAATAGATAAAAATCTATAAACCCTGAGTTATTAATATCACAAAAACAAAAGTTGTTTTTTAATTTCCACCAATAGAGAACAATGCCCCTGAAATCCAATTGCTCAAGTAATTAAGCAGGAGCACTCCAGGTCCAACTTGAGGTTGCTTTTTGGCAACAGTGGGATGAGAAGTCTGGACAAAATTGATCTACTATTCTTATAGATTGATTTTTGTAATTAAGCACTGTTCACTTATTTATGAAGCAAAAATGTGATTGATCTGTACATATTTTAGAGAAAGGCAGTTATATTGGGCCAATTGTAATAGAACTTTCAAGTGTCATATAACACTTGAAAAGCTATTGTGTCCACACTTACACATTACAGGTAGAACTGCACAAGACTCTTAAGCAAGACAACAAAGATTTTCAAACAGAAGTAAACAGGTTTCATAGCACAGAGCCTTCTTAGAGAACATACTTTAATCTTTGCTGATCTTCCTCCTAACAATTTTCAAGGCATTTATTATTCACAAGTGAAGAAAGAGCCATAGCAACATTTATCACACAACACTCCTGACAGATGGCCGATGATAAACATTTTGGAGTAATTGGCAACACATCCTCACCAAAATGTTTGACGGAATGGGACAATTCACCACAGGCAACTCACTGCGGCCATTTTGCCATGACCAATTTGCCGCAGCCAACTTGCCACTCACCATGGCCAACTCACCAATTAAACAATTCAATTTAATTAAAATAATTAAAGCATTATTTTAATTTCTGTCATTCACATTTCATTTTGTCCCTCATCTGGCATCTTTTCTTTAATGATTCTATTCCACCATTTTTTTTTTATATTAGTGTAGCTCTTGTCCCACAGCTAGTTGGCCATAGAGAGTTGTCCCACAGTGAGTTGGCCGTGATGAGTTGGCCATGGCAAGTTGTCCTAAACTCAGGGTTTATGTGAAAGAAAGTCCAGATGAAAGATACTCTGGGTTTTCAAAGAAACCAAATAACATTTTTTTCCCCATCTGTAGTCTCCAAGACTAGGGGGAAAAAACTCATTTCAGAGTACTTTAGAGATTAATCATCTCTGAGACATGGGTGCCATTAAGCATTTGCTTATGGAAGCATTCCCTTAACCAAAAATGAAACTGATATTGTAAAAATAAGACCAAGTCTTATTTATTAATTTATTTATTGCCTCCAAAAGAGGCACCAGGTCTTATTTTTGAGGTAGGCCTTACCTCACCTCCGACACAGATAGCCCCACCCAGCCGATCCACTTCTGGGGCCAAAGTTCTGCAAAGTTCTCCATTCGGGCCTGCATTTTGCAGTCAGGCCTTTTAAGGAGGCCTAAGCAGCCGAGTACCGAGGTATGGATTCAATCCATAGCTTGGTGCTTGGCTGCTGAGATCTTGCAGAACTGAGCTATGGATTGAATCCATAACTTGATTCTTGGCTGTGCAGGCCTCCGGAAAGCCCTGTGACTGAGAAATGTAGGCCTGGCTGCAGAAGAGGCCTCAGAAGAAGAAGTGGGCTGGCAAGGAGAGGCCTGGCTGCAAGGAAAGTGGGTGTGGGGCGGGTGGGGCAGTTCCACACCCCCACCCCAGCTTGATTTTTAGGTGTGTGTCTCACCCCAAAACTAGGGCTTATTTTTGGTATAGGGCTTATGTTAGGCTCACTCCCAAAAATCAAGCTAGGGCTTATTGTTGGTGTAGGCCTTACTTTCAGGGAAACACGGTATTCTATTCAAGATTACAAGTGGGCAAATTGAACAGATATGCATCACTAGAATATTAATAATGTTATTAAGCTTAATTTCATGTAAAACTACAATTTGATCACCTGTCTGTGATAAGATTCAATGTAACATTTCAAGAAATGATACAATCATTTAATATAATATAACCTTCCCATATTATCATCTTTCCATGAGGGAAGAAAGTTTGAGGAAAATTGTAATATATGAAGTAACATGCATATTTTTAAAGTTCCTAATATAAATAAGTGAATACTACTACCAATGCATCCCCATGTTTTGAGGTTCACTAAAAGGCAAGGATACACCAAACTCTAGATCAAATAGGAACAAGAGGAAGAGAGGCCAATGACAAATGCCTGAGACCCACCTTCAGAAGGTAAGTGTTAATGTTTCATAAAGGAAAAAAAAGGACTATTTTTGTATTTAAAAGTTATACTGTGTATGACACCTAGGAATTGTATAGCTCTGATACTGTAAAATAGTCTTACATCACGCTACTGAATTGTTTTTAAAAAATCATTTTGGAAATAAAGACTGGGTAGCACTATGCAAAAGTATTTCCTCTTTTCTAGATTTTCCCCCTCTCTTATTGGCATATTTTAATGGAAAGACTCTTCAAAGGAAGGGAAATGTAATCTGGACACTTTGTATTATTTTTAACAATTTATTAGATTTTTATCCTGCCTTTATTGCTTTATAAGTAACTCAAGGCAGCAAACATATATACTTACCTAGTAGGGCTGTATTACTATTATCTTTCTCATCCTTCCTATTACCTATTCCTTATTTTCTTATGACTATAACTTTGTTGCTTGTATCTTATGATTTATATTGTTTTATTTAGTATCCTAATATGATTTATCTTGCTTATTTAGTATCCTATGACCATCACTGAGTGTTGTATCTTGTGATTTATGATGAATGTTTTTTATTATTATAATAATGATTTATCACTTATTGCTTATATGTACATTGAGAGCTTATGCACTGGAGACAATTCCTTGTGTGTCCAATCACACTTGGCCAATAAACAATTCAATTCCAATTCTAATCTATTCTTTCTCCTTCCCCTTCCTGCTTCACTCCCCCACAACCCTGTGAGGTGGGTCCAGTTGAGAGTGAGTGATTAACCCAAAGTCACCCAGCCAACTTTCATGCCCAAAGTGAGACTAGAACTCAGTCTCATTGTTTCTAGGCCAGCATCTTTACCAGCAGTCCTCAGTCTCCATCCCCAAGCATCCAAACGTTTGACTACAACTCCCAAAATTACAAACCACAATGACCAAATGAACCAAATAAACAACCATATGTTGTAAAAACAGAAGACTAAGGAAAGCTGTTTTCATATTCTTAACAGTTTTATCAGTGTATGATCACTGTTAATTGGTGATGGCCAACAATGTAGATAGTATTAAAAAGTACAAATAAATGGAAGATCCAACTGAAACAGCTATACATTTTGAAGGCTCACAGATAGAAAACTAGCACTGGTAGAAAAGAACTATAGGCAGTCCTCAAATTAACAACCATTTGTTTAGTAACCATTTAAAATTACAATGGCACTGAAAAAAGGGAACTACGACAATTTTCAAACATATGACCATTGCAGCATCTCCATGATCAAAATTCGGACGGTTGGCAACTGGCGCGTATTTATGACAGTTGTACCGTCCTGGGGTCATGTGATCACCATTGGTAACCTTCCCAGTTGGTTTCCAACAAGCAAAGCCAATGGGAGAAGCCAGATTTGTTTAATGATAGATTCACTTAACAACTGCAGCAATTCACTTAAAAACTGTGACAAAAAAGGCTATGAAATGGAGCAAAACTCATTTAATTGCCTTGTTTAGCAATGGAAAGTTTGGGCTCAATTATGGTTGTAAGTCGAGGACTAACTATACTGCTTGCAAATTTTCTGAATTCATCTAGTTGGCCATAAACCAGCCAGAGAAACCTGAACTGACACTAATCCCACATTGAAACAAAAGGAGGAAAGAAAATGGACTTAAGGAAAAATATCCTTACGAGTTACACCTGCTAGGATCGCCTTTTCTCCACATAGTTACCTGCGAGGCAAAGCCTCCCACTGCAAGAGCGTCTTGTCTAAAGAGACGAGAGACGATCGTGACAATCGCCAGGAAAAAAAAGGCACACAGGGCGATTGGAGATTAGCGATGAGCACAAGAACAAGGATGCGGACAATCCCTGCCTTTCAGGAAGCTGTCAGCTCCAGAAAACCAAGGTTTTAGTTAGAAAACTAAGACCTCCAAGGTCCCTTCCAGCTCTACTCTAAAGATACGAAGAGTCCGATAAACCTCCGCTTCGCAAACGAAGTTACTAGGGTAGCTCGTCCCTCTCCACGCAGG